AAACTACCCATTAATAATTTATGAGCCAATAGAGTTTACAAGTTTCCTTACGCTTGGATGGCATAAATTATATTGGTTTTTCTTTCATTCTGAAAACCCCTCCCCCACCAAAAAAAAAAACCTGCCTGAAAATCAATTTAACAGCTAGCGATCGGGCGGCAATTCCAGCTAAATGTCAAGCCGACCGCATGACTAACAACTCGGAAGTGTTGGTCGACAGCCGAATTCGGCTTAAAGCTATTGGTTAAAAGCTGATTGGCGATTCAGCTCAGACGCAAAGAAATTCCATAAGCAGTTGAGCTAAGCCTCTCCCTCTCCCTCTGCCCCTCTGCCCATCTTCTCTAATGACCAGCTGTTGCAGCTGATGTGCGGCTGTCTGAGGGGGACAGCAGCAGACCATAAATAGATGACAGACAATTACAACAACAACAACGACAACAACAAAGACGGAGCAGAGCGGAGCGGAATCATTCCCACGAATCGATAATGACATTTAATAATGATTTAATAACCGAAACGATAAAAATTTACTTAGGCTCAGGACTGCGTCGCTGTGTGTGTGGGCAGCTGGGGCTACCTATCCGCCTGTCCCCCCTTTTCCCTCCCCCCATGGCCCTTGGCTTGGTCTGTTCTGCTCTTATCAGCTGCTTTATCGGCGCGCGCGCCATGGAATTTTTGAATAATTTTGCACTGTTTGTTGGAGCGAGCGAGAGACGGGGGTGGGCAAAGGCGGGGGTGAGGGTGAGAGCTGTGAGTGAGAGGAGGCCCGCATGTCCGAAAAAAAAATACGAATACACTAAAAAGACGCAAAATTGGCGGCCGGCTGCAAAACAAAACGAACGCTGCAAAAAGGGGGAGGGGGAAGGGGAGACAGACAGTCAAGAGGGCTTGCTTGATTATTTTTCTACTTACTTGTCAAGCGCGCGCTATGACAACAAAATCAGTTGCTCTCGCTCACGCTCACACGCTGCCGTTGAGCGATGTTATATGTGTGTAGCCGCAGCAGTTACTCTCCTTCTCTCTCTCTCTCTAGAGCGCCGGATTCTCTCACACTCTCTGTCTCTCAGTGTGCCAACTAGCTGGCAACTCCAATTGGTGGCCGATTGGCAAATTTAATAATTTTTTCGTTGGGTTATTGTTATTGTTGTTGTTTCTTAATTAAAATAAGTATGTATTAAGCTATGATGGCTCTGTTATGGCTGTATATATGTATATATATATATGTATGTATATACGTAGGTGTGTAAATATTATATATGTATTTTTTTGGCGCTTTTTTCTACGTTTCCAGCTGCTGTTTTGTTTGCTCTAAGCTCAAAGTTATTTTATTTCATTCTACTGCGTCTTCTTCTTTACGCTAAAAAAAACTTGTCAGCCGTTTTTGTATTTTTGTTGTGCGCGTCGACTGATAAAACCAGATTTTATTTTGCGTTCTGTTTGAAAATTGATTTCTAATTTGAGTTTTGAGCGCTGCTGCGGCTGCGGCGGCTGCTGCTGCTGCTATTCCAGTTGGGAATTTTTGTTAATGGCCGCGCGCGCAAGATTTTTGTGCTGCTGTTGCTTCTTCTTCCTCTTCTCCTTCTTCTATTTGTGATTTTTGTTGTTGTTTGCTCACTCACACACACAGGTACACATATACACACACGCATACGCGCGCTTTTATTGTTTTAACGCACAACTACGACGTTTTTTTTTTGTATTTTGCGCTCAGCTGCTTGGGCACACTTTCGATGTTGTTGTTGTTGCTTTTTGCGTTACCAACGAAATGAAAAACTTTTGTTGCGCCTTTGACCTCTTTTCACACCGAGACGTCGACTGAGGCAGCGGCAGCGACACTTTAAATAACTGTACGTTGTTGTTGTTGTTGTTGGGGTTGGTGCCAATTGGTCCAGTTTGTAGTTCCAATTGGTTGTTGCACGGATTACGGCACGCAGCTGGACTAGCTAACCGCGTTATTCTATTGCAGCGACACTTTTAAGTAGTTGATTTCAATTGGTCCAGTTGTGATGCCAATTGGCTTTTTTTGTTGTTGAGTAGGGAATTACAGCACGCAGCTGCTCTAGTTGGACACAAGCGGACTATGCACGTTACCGTTATTGTATTGCATTTCCTTGTTATATATTTTTGTATACATATATATTTGTAGTTGTAGTTGTAATTGTTTGTATGTATGTAAATTCAGCTAGTGCTCCGATTTGGCTTTTTGTTGTTGTGGTGTTTTTTTTCCACCAAAAACCAAGCACACACACACACGCTGACACACACACGCGCGCGCACACACACACATACGCAGAGGCGCTTTCATGTGTGTGTGTATTATGTACACACACGTATTATGTATGTTATTTTCGTTGCACCGCACTCGCACAAACTTATCATCACGATTCGACTGCTGCTGCTGCTGTCGTTTCTTCTTCTTCGTTCATCTTCGTCGTCTTTTCTTATAATTTTTGCTCTTCTTTTATATTTTATTTTTATTTGTGTGGTGTCGTCTTTACATGTACATATGTATATTCGCTGCACTTTTACTCTCGCACATACGCAATTTGTTGTTAACGCGCCATGCAATTGCGCACCGTTATCGTTGCGTTGTTTTTTTTAACAAAATTTATCGCATTTGTTTTGTTATTTTCACTTTTTTTCTTATTAGATTTCTGGTTTAGCAGCAGTGACTAAGAATACACTAAAATTGGTCAAGCGCGTGGAACGGAACTGGTTTGCCACGGAGCTGGCAGCGCGATTGTTGCTCACAAAGGTTCCCGCCAGATGGCGCTTCTGAGAATACGGTCAGGAGTGCTCAACAGTGGCTCAACTGTTGAATTTTTCCGAGTCAATTGCTATTTAGTGAGAAAATAATGCACTTTAATAAATTCAAACTTGGACTAATTTAAAATGAATATGAAATAACTATTATATAGCTCTAAATGGGAGTGTAGGTAAATTTGTGTTATATAAATTAGGTTAGCTCACGTTTTTATAGGCTTGCACACACGCATGCAAATTGCACTGCCTGTGTATATGTGTGTGCCTATGCGTGTGTGGCTTCCTCTGCTCGTACGCCTGTTTCCTTTTCCGTTAACATTTTGTGTCTGGTTTCCGGCATTTTTGTGCGCCATTTAAAATTGTTTCCCAAGATACAAATCTCTAGCTGTCTATCTCACTCTCTCTCCCAATCTCTGTCTCTCGCTCCTTTACGCTTTTTCCCTTGAATGCCAATTGCAGGCAAATTGGCGCCTAAGGCTCAACATTTAAGTTCATCCAAGGCAACAGACAACAACAACAACAACGGCAGTTGAGTGAATGCAAATTGAAAATGTGATAGACCTATCTATTGCCACGAGTAAATAGCAGAAATTATTATTTAGACATTTGAATTAATTAAATGGAATGCACAAATTGCCAGGCACAAGAAAATGCGGCGGAAAATCGAAGTAAAAGACGAACGTGAAAAGCGTAACTGTGAAAGGGCAGCATTAAGAGTACCAACATTATTTAATTGTGCTCATTGCCTTAAATTTCAATTATAGCTTTAAATATTTTATTAAATTTACTTCAATTTTATACTTGACTCATTATTTGAATATTTAAGTAATATTAATACAAATTAAATTTTAATCTGGTTTTTAGTTTAAAATTTTTATACCCTGAACCCATTGAAAATGGGAAATCAGGGTATAATGGTTTTGTGAAAAAGTATGTAACGGGCAGAAGGAGGCGTGGCAGACCCCACAAAGTATATATATTCTTGATCAGCGTGACGAGCTGAGTCGATATAGCCCTGTCCGTCTGTCCGTCCGTCCGTCCGTCCGTCCGTCCGTCCGTCCGTCCGTCCGTCCGTCCGTATGAGTGCGTCGATCTCAGAAGTTATAAGAGCTAGAGAGCTGAAATTTGGCATGCATACTCGTGTGTACCATACGCAGTACGAGTTTGCTTTATTTTTTCGATAAATCGTCCGATAACTTTTTTATCGAGAATAATCGAAAAATTGATTTTGTTTTTTTAGCCTAATTTGAACATTTTTAGACCTGGANTATGATTACACTCTGAAAGTTTCATTAAGATCATATGTTTACAAAAGAAATTATTCGACAAATAAATTCTCATAATATTGCCCACACTGCAGCGCAGCCCAAGCGCAGTCGCTGCTTACTGCGCAGTTAGCAGAGCGCGTGCTTATAAGTGCATGTGTATGTATGGGTGCATAAAAGAAGTGCAGAATGATTAGAATATCTGCTTAGAGGGTTCAGGGTATCTCCTAGTCGAGCAGTCTCGACTAGAGTCTTCTTACTTGTTTAATTTTCTTCCTCTTACTCTTCAGATATTTTCACAGTAGACCTCTATATAAAGCTGTTTCAAGATCATTTTTATTCGACCCTTAGCTAAGCTAAGCTGTAACCGGTTGAGAATTACAAGGGAACGCTTACCGAATCAGTATAAAACTAGAGTAAATGTCTCCAATAAGAATCAATCTATTTAGAGCTTACCTAAATGCGCTCTTCTCTCTATATATATATTAGCTACTCTCTAACTCCCACTTAGATAAAATATGTACTAACTTAATCAACTATTCCCGTATCTATGTCGGGCCTATGGCTAGTTAATTTCGTTGTTGTCGTTCCATTAAATTAGTGGAACATTTGACATTTAATGCATATTAATTTTCAACTACCTTATCGACTGTGAGCCCTCGCAGCTGTACATCTCGTTTGTTGCTCTCCAGGGTCGCGCTGTTATCGGTGTCGCTTCTTATCAGTCGATATCATCGGCAGCAGCAGCAGGTGGTGGCACTGGGGGCGGGTGGGCGTGTGGCAGGGGTTACATTGCCTCTGGCATTGATTTCTTAAATTTCAATCAAAGTTCAGCATGTCATAGACTCCACTTTATTTCATTCTGTATATTACTTTTTATCACTAATATCATTTTTTTTACTCTCGGTTGCCTCCTCTTCATTTTTTTTATGATTTTTTTATGCTTTTCTGTTTTGTTTGCTGCTCAGTCGCGCTTCAGCTTTTTGGGCACTAACAATTAAAAGTAACGGCAGTTGACGCCACATTTAACGGTACATACGAGCAGCGAGTCTCTGTGTGAGTAAGAGTGCAGGTGTGTGTGTGAGTGTGCATGTGTGTATGTGTGTGTGATGAACTCTTAATAAAGAGATAGCCAGGTGTAAAATTAAATTTTATGTTGCAAAACAAAGAGAGAAAACGAATTGTGCACTTACACACACACACACACACCTGTCCTTAAGCGCTCAGTTCATTAATAGCTGGATTGCATGCAGTAACAACAATAAAAAAAAAGAAAAGAAAACAACTGTAAACAAAACACTTGACAAAAAAAGGAGAGGAGAGAGAGTGAAAAAGAAAGAGAGAAAAAGAGGATAAAGATTAAAAGGTTGCCTGATAGATAGATACCCTGTAAGAGCGAGAGAGAGAGAGAGAGAGAGAGAGAGAGAGAGAGAGAGAGTAATAGCAAGAGGGAGACAGAGATTTAAAACAGTAAGAGAGAAATAAATTAAGAGATGGAGACATACAGGGAGAGAGAGAGAGAGCTAGAGCAAAATACAGAAAACAAAGTAAAAATGTGGATGGGATCAGAAAAATTAAATCGAGCAAGAGTGAAGAGAGAGAGAGAGAGAGAGAGAGAGAGAGAGAGAGAGAGAGAGAGGGAGAGTGATTTAGAGATAGAGTGCGAAAGAGCGAGAGAAAGTGAAAGAGAAAGACTGACAGAGACAGACGCAAGGAAACGCATTTCCAATAGACGAAGGGTAAACAGAAACCAAATAACGATTTAGCTATTTGAGAGTCAAATCATTTGTGTGAATCGTCCTTCGAATGTGTTTCTAAACTGAGTATTCGGATAGGTCTATTAAGAACTTTTCGAACTGTGAGTGAAATTGAATTGAATTTGCTTTCGAGAACTCTCATTTGCAATCGTAGGGCGTGCGGGTGAGTGGGTGGGACAAGTGGGCGAGTGGGTGAGTGGGTGAGAGCGAAATCATTGCGCTTTTCTGTTTGTGGGGCTAACCGAAAAAATCTGCTTGCACCTCTTTGGCTCCACAGCTCGTTATCGTCTTTTCTGTAGGAGAACAACAAACGCAACAACAACAACAGTAACAACAACAACAACAACATGGGGAACTACAATTCCTTGTTGCTTGTTTGTTTTGCCAGGCCGCAGAGACAGCAAACAGCAGCAGCAGGAGCAGCAGGAGCAGCAAAAGTAGACAGACGTGTGTGAGAGTTGGGCGGGTGGGCGTGGCAGGCAGGCACTGCTTCCTGTCTGCATTTGTTGTCAACGACAGACGAGGCGAGGCGAGGCGAGGCGAATCGGAATGAGGCAAGCACTTTAGTTTGTGCACATTAAACGTGGCTGCCATGTGTACAATCAGCCATGCCCACACGCCTACACAGCCCGTGCTCTTATTCCTTTTCTTTTATTTCTTATAAAATTTGTAGTGAATTGCTCGTTTATTCATTAAATTACAAAGAAGCCAGCGAGTGAACAATACAATTTGCAATAGCTACAACTAAGAGAGGAAGGGAGAGAGGGAGAGAGATAGGGAGTGGGAGCAGGGGAGAATGCTCGCCCCCTCTTTGCCACCTACGGCCAGACAAATAGACAGCTCCTTCGACATTTGACAGTCGCAAAATGCGAAATACTAGTTGAAGTTTTTAGCCGGGCGCCAGCTCTTAAGCCGCTTAATTGCTGCCAAAACAGTGGAAAGGCACTTCAACTCTGGCATCGCCTCATAAATCCTACCCAGCTCCAGCAGCACGGGCAGAACCCGAGCGATGCGTGCGAAATAGTGCAGATCAAGCGAGGCGTTAATAAGCCCCCATGCAAGAGCAGCTGAGTATCTCGCATGCTGCTGAGAAAGCTTGTGTGTGTGTGTGAAATGTAGATGGGCAAGGAGAGAATTTCATGGAATGGAATGGTACTATTTGCTTGCAATTTAGCAGTTTGCAGTGAATCGATATATTTCATTGGCCAAATGTGACTGCAATATATGCAAATACCTCATTAGATAGACTCATTTATATACAATAGATCTAGCTAGCTCTTTCTCTCTCACTCCCTCTCTCTCCCTCTCTCTCTTTTCCTATCACTTTCTACACTCTGATCCACTCACCTGCCCACTTTTTGATTGATAGAAACTAGAGCCTCGAAATCGGTTCATGTAATATAAGAGTAGATAAAGTTATCGATAGGTTTTTCCGCTTCAATCGTTATCGATACCTCAGTTATTAATTCACATCTCTTCTTTCATATTTAGTTTAATATGAACTTTGATAGACAATTTTAGCTGTCAACTGATTCAGATCTTGAAGAGTCTCCCATTTCAAATAAAGGCAACTACTTTTAACCATTTATCGGGATACACATCTGTCGCAAAGTGAATCGTATAGCAGCATATTAGTTGGAGTAAATCCACTCTCACGCCCACTCTCAGCACGTAGTGCAGCTGTCATGGAGGCTGACAGGATAACAATGAAGCCTCGGTGTCTCGCTCTAGCTGAGGGGGTCAAGGCGTAGCGCACAATGGCAGGTTTTGTGCTAAGTGCATTGTTGTTAATGCGCCGGGCACAATTGAATGGTTCGCTCTCTGCCACTCAGTGAATAGAGTTTATTTATTATGTTAAGGGACGGCAGTCGAGCAGCTGTGGTAACTTTTTCTATTGCTCTTGCAGCTGGACGGACAGCATGGCGTATGCTTTACGTACGCTCCGAGTTCTGCTGCTTGCCGCAGCGAGCGTCGCTTTAGGCCCTTCGAGTGGCTCATTAGCGGGCAGCGAGACTGTGCAACTGACGCCAGCTGAGCGAGTGCTGGCCCAGGTGCCAGCAGCAGGTAAGCTTTACCTTTTTTTTTTCGGCTTCCCTTTTTCTGCTTTTCAGCTACCCACATGCAATTAGGGCTTGTTTATCACGCATACGCACTGTGCCGTGCCACTCGAATAGTAATTGCGAATGCGTATGTGAGTGCGCGAGTATGTGTGTGTGAGTGTGTGTGTGTGGCAAAAGTCAACGAATTCGTAATTGGTCTTTCGTTTTGCTGCATTTAGTTGGACCAGTTTTTTAGTTTTTGTGGGTCGCATCAGCGAGCAAAAACCCAAAAATAACTCAAGTATCATTCGCGAATTCCATGAGAGAGCGAGAGACGGCGATGGACGATATGCGGCACAGTGAAGACAGCCTAAGAGTGAATGACAAAAACCGAGAACAGATTGAAATGCTTAAATAAAAGAGCGAGAGAGGGAAAACGAGAGAGAGAAAGAGAGATTCGGCTGGAAAGGGAGAGAGGTTGAACTAACGTTGAGATTAAAACAAGGATAGAGAAAAGAAAATGCAGAGAAAAAGAGAGACGGAGAGAGATTGAGATTGTAAAAGGAGAAATAGAAAAAAAAAACTGATATTGAGGTATAGAGAGAGAGGGAGGAATTTAAAGAATCTCAGAGAGAGATATCAAGTATCAAAAATATGAATATTTAAGGGGACAGAGGCAAAGTTAGAGAGAAAAAGAAAGTGAGAAAGAGAGTGATATAAAGTGAGCGAAAAATTGCGATTTTAATGAAAAATTCATTAGTTGGAAGAACTTTACACTGCTCAAGTATCAACAACAGACTTTTCTGGTTAAAAAGATGCACATAGAAATAGTTTGAAGAGGACAAGGCGAGCTCAGTCCGTGGGGCAAGGGAACGAAGAACTTTACAAATTTTCTTGAAAAATATAAAAGCTAAGATTACAGTTGAAAAGTCTCTAACGGAACTCACAGAGCAAGTGCGTCTAACAAAGAATAGAAGGTTTCACCTGCTATTTGAACTCTAACAGAGTATTAGCACAGTCGTTTACATGGCAGGAGCAGTGCCTTTGCTTTCTCGTTTATTTAAATCTATTTGTGCGCCGATTTCATAAGAAATTTCTTTCCTATTCAACTTGAAACAGCTGAAGAGAAACTTTGTTTGCAACACTTGTTAGCAATGTGCTTGGTCTGCTATCATCTTGCCATCTTCTTATCTCTTCCGGTCTGCCCACTTAGCCAGTGCTCACTGTTGCTCCTGCTACGGCTGCTGTTGCTGTTGTTGTTGCTGTTGTTTGCATTTTGCTTCGTTCTCGACTATTTTTAGTCATTCGTCTCCTGTGCCACTTGACAATTGCTGTATCCGCTTAACTGTTGTTGTTGGCTGTTGCTGTTGTCGTAGCTGCTGTTGTTGTTGTTGCTGTTGACTGTTGTTGCCAGCCATGTGTGCTGCAGCGCGTTTGGCCCGCTTCCGTTGCAGCATTTTGATGTCGCGCTGGTGTCATTTGTCACGCATGCAATTGTTGTTGGTTTGCTTACAGCTGTTGCTGCTGCTGTTGCTGCTGCTGCTGCACGAGAGTGCAAGTCCGAGCTTATTCTTGGCATCATTAAGCGTCGCTGATAACACTTAACACAGTTATGCCACAGCATGTCGGCTAAATGGCAGCCAGTTGCCATTGGTGGGGTGAGCGAAAAGCAGCAAAAAATGTAAATATTTTTATGCAACAACTCGACGACAACAACAACAACAGCAACAACGGCAACAACAGCTAAGAAGAAACTCAACAACTTTCGCTTTTGGCTTTTTGTTTTCGCTTTCGCAGTTGTCTGACATTTTGGGTCAGTTGTCTCATTTATTTGGCGCTGCTCAACTTTAAATGTGATTTATTGCGTGGAAACAAAAGGAACAGCGAATTGGGGAAATGGAGAAGCTGAAACAGTAAACAGAAAGTGAAAAAATAGAAAAGAAGCAGAGAGACACATCCAGCGAAAGAGAGAGAGAGAGAGTGCAAAAGTTTTTTTGTGCGTTGAACATGGCGTATGATTAACGTCAACGAGTCGTATGCGTAATGAGTGCGGAAAGTTATAAACTGATTTTCAAAATGCAAAACGGACAAAAAACAAAGAACGAAGAAGTAGAGTAAGAGGAGGAGACAAACAAAAAACGGGCTGAGTGGAGACACATGGCGAACAGTTAATGTCCAATTATGAATAAATGCAGCAGAAAATGCAGAAGGATGCAGGAAAATTCAACTCGAATGGAATCAAGTGGAAAACTAGTTGAAGCACGGAAAGGCAAGGAAACAAGATTCGTTTCATTTGATAGGATAAGTTGAATTGCTTTCGCTTGATAATACTTGTTGAGTTGCAGTTGATGTTGATGCGGATGTTGATGAGAATCGCAGAGGGGGGCGTTGATTAAAAGTAAGTTTCATGCATGATATGAGATGTTTAAGAGGACGGCTCTTAACCAGATAATGTTTTTTATATGTGAGGGCTTACAGAGGTTTTTTGCTATGAGAATTGCAGAGAAAGGCGTTGGGTAAGTTGCGTAGCTTATAGGAAAGGCTTGCTTTAAATATATATATAAAATTTAGCAGCATAGCCATTTGATATCAAAAGCTTACTAAGTCAACGTTCATTATGAGAATTGCATAGAAGAGCTATAACAGCGTAATATAAGAGCCAATTTGAAGTCAAAAGTCAGCTACAAGACATATCTATATACATACATAAAAACTAAAATCGCAGTAGAGTCTTTGTCTACCCTTGGTTTTCCGGTTTGTAAGTACAACTATCCCTTTAGATTTTGTACTCAACGAAAGTCATTTTGGCCATCGCAATTGCTTTTTCATTTACCTTTTTCATTTTCGTTGCTCCTTTTCTTCGGCGTATATCTTTTGATTATCAAGCAATTTGATTTCCTTTCGCAGAGAGGACGAAAGCCTGTCTGCCTGCTTGCCTGGTCTCGCTTTTGTTTTCCCTTATCCTTTTTTTTTTGGTTTTTTTTGTTTTTGTTTTTGAGCTCAGCTCATCAGAGAGAATAACTTGAGTGTTCCGTTGATTGCCGGACTGCCGTCAATAGTTGGGCATAATGGGAGTGGAAGGCAATGGCAATGACGATGGCAATGGCAATGGTAATGGCAATGCCTTTTGTTTGGCCATCAAAGTCAGTTACTTGTCTAATGACTGCAATTTGATACGATTTATCAATGATTCATGTGCGCTTTTGCCAATCACCTGAAAGCGAACTAGCTTGCCCAGGCCAATACAATTCATAGCGAGTGCAATTGAGGGACTGACAGACAGACGGGCAATAAGCAGCTAAGTCAAAGTCAAAGAAAAATCTTAATGAGCTTCGCCATGAAGTGACTCGAGTGCTGCTTAGCAGACTCTGCTTAGATTTTCGATTTTCTTTCTTCTTCTTATTTTGGACATTTAAAAGCGAAGTATTTTTTTTTTTTTACTTATCGTCTGCTTCTCTTCCTTTTGTCTTTTAGCACGCAGCAGTTTTTTGCTCTACCAATTAGCCACGGCCATAAATTCTGGCAACTACCCCGGGCTGGCGCTGGAGGGGGAGCACGAGCAGGAGCTGGAGCAGGAGTTACTTGTAGAGCATCAAGTGGACTACAGCTGGCCGAACGCAATGCCAAATGAATTTCAGGTATGAGCCACTTAAATCCATATCGAGCACCGAATAAAGTCCCTGACCCTGCAAAGCAAAAAAAGAAAAAAACATAAATCACGCGCTTTTTACCCTCCTGCTTTAAGAGGGGGCATTTAAAACTTTTTCCGGCGCAGATGTCTGTCAGTGCAATGGGTTCAGAGGCACGTGACCACTTGCTGGACACGCTTCACTAACCAAAATTCCATTTACTAAAGCCAACGGGACTTATCAGCTCACTGCACTGAATTGTTCTCAAAAATATTTCAGCTGAGATATTGAAACGGAATACTTTATTTTGAGTGCTTTATATAGGGTTTTTCAATAAGGGCGGGTAGATGTTGAAATAGAATAAATAGAACCGTGTGGGCATATTGAGTTCATTAAAGAACCTGACTGATTAAGGGATAAGCTGAAAAAAATTGTAGAGATGTCATGAAGTATATATGGACATTGTGTGGTGACCTTGAGCGGGCGGTGACCTTGAGGGGGTGGTGACCTTGAGGCAGTGGGGGCCTTGAGAGGCGGTGTCCTTGAGGAGGCGGTGGCCTTGAGGGGGTGGTGACATTGAGGGAGTGGTGACCTTGAAGGGGTGGTGATCTTTAGGGGCAGTAAGCTTGAGGGGTCAAGGTCCCTTGAGGGGGCAGTGATCTTCAAGGGGCGGTGACCTTGAGGGGGTAGTGATCTTCAAGGGGCGGTGACCTTGAGGGGGTGGTGACCTTGAGAGGGCACAGACCTTGAGGGACGATGACCTTGAGAGGGCGATGAAAAAAAGAATTTTACTCTCACAAAAATAAATTTTAAAATTGATATTCATATACATTTGTGCTTATTGTATTGCCTCTTCATTAAAGCAATTCAGCTCGAGTACTGTCAATTAAAATACTTGTAAGCATTACAAATCAATTGGTATCTGGCATCTGCTGCTTTGGGGTAAAGTCCTTCGTATCGGCAGCGTTAATCGCTGTTATTGATTACTTATTGCTGCTGCAATCGCCCAGGTCCAATCAGCTCAACACTGCCACTGTAAAAAGCGATTTCTCCAAAGAAAACTTTCTAATTATTGCGCAGCATAAATGGATGTGAATGTGCCCTCTGGCCCTTGGCTTGGCCTGGCCTAGCCTAGCCTAACCTAACCTAACCTAGCTGGATGAAGCGGAAATGTTGTTGGACTTTGCTTTGATTTGGTTGGCTTTTTGCATTTCCAATGTTGAAGCTGCTCCCAGTCGGGCTCCTGCTACTGTGTTGCTCATATCCTCGGGACAGCTGCCTCAGCTGCAAGTATTTTTACATAACAACAACAACAACAACAACAACAATAACAACATCTGCTTTTATAGCTTGTTTGGCCCCAGCGGCCTCGCCTTGGCTAGTTAGTTTTTATTTCGAACGCTTCTTTAGTCTATTAAATATTCCATATTGATAAGCCAGCGTGCTTTAAATGCCTCACACCCCCACTTTTCTTGCTCTATGCTCTGCGTGGCTATTTACTTTTAATTTTCATATTTGACACTCGACGTTCCACGTTTTTGGCGCTACTAGAGCGGAGTGCGTGTCGTGTCACGATGCGTGTGTTGGCAACTGGAAGGATATGGTGATGGTGTCTTAATTTAGATCGATCTCTTCTATAGTTTTTGTTGTTTTTATTATTTGTATATTCCTTTGTGTTGTGTGGATTTTTATGTTATATAGATTATTAAATGTGACTGTTAATTGAATTGTTTAGCTGGTATACAGATTGTGCTGTTATCTATGTATAACATAGATGCGTATCATCATCTATGTTATTGAAATTGACTCGATATATATTTACCTTTGTCTGTTACGTAGATTCGACTGGTTTATGTTATATATACATATAATATATATACACACTGTGTTATATGGACTGTTATATGTGTTATACAACCTTGACTATAATGTCTATATGTCCGTTATATAAATTATTTTATTTAGTTCTGCTGCTATATGGTCTGTTATATGGACTGATATAACTGTCAGTCAAGGATGTATATCGACATGTCTGTTATATAGACTATGTAATATCGACTTAGCTGATATAATGTATGTATACTTATCCGTTTCCTTGTCTCTGTTATCTATACTGATATATCTGTTAGTCAAGGATGTACATATATCGTAATGATAAATAGACTTTATGTTATATCGACTCAGCTGCTATATATGTATGTATACTTATCCGTTTCTTTGTTTCTTTTATATAGTCTGTTATACAGACTCATCTGTTATAACAAATATACTTTAATACATGCTATGACAGAGGTTCTCTTTAAATTTCTTAAAAATGTTATTCCAACTCATATTTACATCTCCTAAGACACGACACGCTCTCATCTCTGGCTGCTCATTAAACGGCTGCTGCGAATGTCTACGCAAGCTGCTTGAAATCCAGCTGCATTTGCTCCTGCTGCTGATGCTGCTGCTGCTGCTGCTGCCTGTCTTTAATGTGGCTTTGCGTTGCGCTCTTGCCAAATTGCCGAGTTGCTAGTTTGCAGGCACGTCCAAGTCCTTGACTCGATGGAAAAAAAAAGATGAACAAGGGTATACACCAGGGATTACTTTGCTTAATTCAACTGCAAATGAAAAGTGTTTGTTCGGTAAATTCAATCTTGCCAGCATCTTGTTGACGTTGTCATTACGCCTCGGCACTGAGAGAGCTGAGCTCTGTAGCTGTAGCTGTAGCTTTAGCTGTGGCTGTAGCTGAGACTGGCTCTGATTCAGCTTCAGGTTATGGTTATGTGTGTGGCAGCCAGCTGCATGGGCTGCTCGCCCTCTCTGCGAGTTCATCAAAGCGTAATCTGCACAAAATGGCGGCATTTCCTCTCACCCTCACACACAAACAAGAAAAAAAAACCAAAAAAAGGAAAACGAAATGGCAGCAACTTTAAGCTAACTATGCGTCCTTGAGCCTGTTTGGAGCCCAACCCTCGCCGGCTTCTATCTAATGGAGTCATAATTCTTCAGCTCGTTAGCAGCAAATACATGCAACGTAAATATGCCCCAAAAAGGCAGCGGCAGCAGCAGCAGGAAGCAGCATGCCACACATTTTTCGGCTGTCTCACATTTTTGCATGCCCAGCGAAATATTTGGCAGGCTCTTTGAGTCGCTTGACTCGAAGGCGAAAGGATTTGTTTTCAGGTAGACAGGGTAACTGGCAGTCGTGCATGCCCCTCTGGCCAGTGTATTAAGCCCTTATTCTGTGTTGGCCCACTGACAAGTTGCTTAATTGAAAAGTGTTTTGTTCGGCTGGCACCTGCTTCCAGCTGCTGATTCGGCATTCAATAATTTGCCTTTATTTATGCATGGCATCTAACATAACAAAAAAGAGGGACACACCGTGGAAAAGGGCGAGAGAAAGAGGGAGAGTGAGTAAAAAAAGGACATCATATAGAAGAGGACAATTTTTCAAGGGTCTTCCGCTTGGTTGTTGCTCGCCTTCCGGCTTCAGCCCTCAAGCCACTTCCTATAGCCATCTCTCTCTCTCTATCTATCTCTCTCTCTCTCTCTCTCTCTCGCTCTGCCTATCCCCCTCTCTCTCTCTCTCTCGCCACACACACACACATACAGCAGCCTTCGCTTGCCTGCCATAAATAATTATGTTGTTCTTAGATAGCTGCTGTTGCTTTCTCTTCCTGCTTCTTCCTCCTTTCCTCCCTGCTCCCTCCTCCTTCTTTAGCTTTTGCTTGGGAAAAATTGTTGCAATAATTATCACATTTTTCACGTCGTCATTTTTCATGCACTCAGCAAACGACGCTCGAAAATCTCTTGTGACAGTTTCTTGCCCATAATTAAACGGACATGGGCGTGCCACGCCCATACACACACAAGCTGTCACTTGCTTTATGACAGACATTAGCGCGATAAGCATTTCTTTTACCATTTTGATACCCGCTCATGGAGTGAAGGGAGTATATTGGTTTTATGCCTTATGCCTCAGTTCTTCTTTCTTTAGCTAGAGAAACTATTATTAAGGTAGATCATAGTCCTATTAACAAATACATTTTTTCTCCCCAGCTTGAGCGCGCATCAGGCAGTCAGTCATGCTGCACTGCAATTACTTTGTTGTTCGCTTTTTATGTATTTTTAATTAACTTTCGTGTTGTTTGCTTGCCGCATAATTCCATCAACACTGAACAAATTGACAAAATCAAAAGCTGCACTCGACTGCGCCTAATCGGATCCGGGATCACGAGTCCAGCTGCTGCTGTCGACTCCTGCTCCAAGGTCTGCTGCTGCTGCTGCTCCTGTCTCTAGTAGTTCAGCTGCTGTGCTCTGTGTGTGTCTCAAGTGTTTGTCTGTCTAATTGGCAAATTTTAATTAGCTCGTCAGTGATGCTTAACAAAATGTCCAAGTGTTTGCTCGACTGCCCCGTAGATTTATGCCCCTGGGTCTCCATCTATCTCTATCTCTCTCTGTCTCGGATATTTCGGGTAACGCATTCACCAAGATCGCTTGCAACGTGCACTAGCACAATTTATCGACTGCAGTTTGTCGACCCGCATCGCAACGCAGCTTTGCTGGCTTACTGCAAACAGTGCTGCGTTTACCTTGCTGTGAGTGCAGCATACGCTCTCAGCTAGCCACACACCTTGATGCAACAGCAGCAGCGATAGCAGCAGCAGCAGCAGCAACAGCAGACGGAGCCGGAGAAGTTTGAAAATTTTTCAAGCGTGTTAATTACGGAAAGTAGAACGGATATTGTTGCACTATTTTATATAGTCTATATATATTATATATTTTATATATATTATTGCTGTTTCTCATTATTTATATGATATTGGCTGAAGATATGAAGCTGAAGACTATGACTAATTAGATAATCTATAGAATTGTGATTAGTATTTTTCTATATTATACATCTGTACAGTTAATAAATATGAATAATAAAGAATATTAATAAAGAGTGAAAATAGAATAAAAAAAATCTTTATAGAAAACCTAATTAAGTTTTTAATATATTAATTTAGATTTCAGGCAAGTGCTGAAGAAGATTTTTTTTTGATTATTCACATATCTTGAATTCAAAAATTCAGATGTTTAATTTACTTAAAATAATAGCTGTGGATACTCAAAAATATCTAATTAAAATTTAGTTTGAATAAATAAAAAATATATAAAATAAATATACTATATTTCGTTTGCCTTCAAGGTCCATTTGCTCTACATAGTAGATCTACCTTTGCTCAAAACCTTTCAACAATTCACTCGCACAACTCTTCAAGTTACCCAGTGCTCTGGCTACTGACTTATATCTTGAGCGTGTGTGTGTGTGTGTGAGGGAGAGAGAGTACTTAAAACATAGCTTAAACGCGTTGACACTGCTAGCAACAGCTTTCAATTAACTAGCTGTCGACGCTTGCTTCCCTTTTAATTAGCAACAAAAAAATATAAGAAGATGAAGAAATCTTGAACATTCTTTTTATTTTTATTCCTTCTTTCTGCTATTTAGCTGCGCTTTGCACTCAGCTCCTTTATTAATTTCATTTTCTGTTGTTGCGCTGCAGAAACGGGGCATTGCTCATACGCCGCGTTGTGCAGGAAATTAAGTTTTTGTGACATAACGTTTCGCTCTTAATGAATCATGATTTGCTTTTCTTATGTTTTTCCTTCTGATTGCAGTTTATGTCGGTCTACGAAGATTTTCCGCTACAATTCCAAAACTGGCTAATGGACGGCTATGGCCTGAGCGTGCAGGACGTCTATCAGAGCTGGCCCCGAGCTGCAGCTGCAGCGCGTTCTGCCCAGCGGCAGTTGTGCAATGACCGCGGCGAATGCTACGATGTGGCCGAAATTTTGGCTGCGTGTTGTCCATTTTGAGTTTAAGTTAAGTAAGCTCGCAAATATAAACACATACTCGACATGATTAAAAGAATGATATATATAAATATGGCTGTGCGCGGTTACGGCGGGCTTTACGGGCAGCAATCATTGGTGACCAGACCCGGGGCCGAGTGTCCGCAACGTGGCCATTAAATGTTGTTGCTGTGGTTTTCCTCTCGGTCTCACACAGGCAAATAATCGAAGTCCCAGCTGCCGTTGCTGTCGACTCCAGCGACAGTTGTGGTGGCCATGATGGCCATAACGATGCCCTGCAATCAGGCCATGTGTTTGGGGTGTATACGAAGTCTAGGTCTATGGCTTATAATATTAAAGATCATAGAGTAGCATATAATGCTACATTTATTAAGTCTCATATAACTCATATTCTAGCTGTTCACTTTTGTAGGGTATTTACAACCGATCAATGATGAAAGATAAGACTACATTTCTCATTTCTCATTTGAATATAATCGGCTTGAATGAGGAATTATGATTATATTTAACTTGCATAATAGACTCCTATCATCCAGCTAAGCTCTTAGGCAATCAGTTTTCCAGGGTATCCTTTAGTCAAGCTTTCTATCAGCTCATCCCATGAGCTATCATAAAAAGTCAATTAAGCTGTCAAATACAATGCCCTTTAAAGAACCTTGAATACTTGCCGAGTTGCAGCTCAGTTTACAGGGTATTCGCTGGCTGCCGCCTTCCATATGTTATTCGGTCCGTGTTTGTTTGCACGCTGAGCTTTTTATGCGCGGCAGCAATCAGTGGCATGAATGTTCAAATGCGTGCAACAATAAAAAGGAGACAATGGCAATAGCAGCAACACGAATTGTTGCAACAGCAACAGCAGCAAAAGCGAAAAATCAACATTCAACAGCCCAAAAAAAGCAACAGCAACTTTTCCGTTCGAATACCCTGCAAGAGATGTGATAAAAGGGAGTGAATGGCATGAACAAAGCAAATGCAGAAATTATAACAAATGCAGAGAGTTGAAAATTGTAAAGGGTATTTCGTGGTCGTGCATGCTCGCCTAATGCGCATTGTTTGCCATTCTTTTTTCGGTTTTGCATTGTTTTTTATCCGTCTCCGGTACGGAACTGTTTTTGTTGTCGGGCAATGTGATTTTCGGCGTGAAATTTTATTCAATCTCTACGGATGCAGGCCAATGCGCGCTGCCCAACAGTCCATTGATTCGCTGATGGACCATTTCGTGGATAGAGTGCAAAGTCAACAAGGACGAACCACTATCACCTGCCAGACGAAGACTCCATACACTTGCGCACCTATCTATACATATTAACTATATTAACTAGGGACAACTGCCGAAAGCTTTTCAATTGCAGGACAACTCAACAGATCAAGAAAATATATAAAATAAATATACATATATTGAAGTCCATATATTTTATATAGTGTGTTACATATTGCTTAATAAATTCATAATACCTTGTTAATATTAGTAATCGCCTCTGTAATACGAAATTTATATGAGTTTTTGTAAAGTTTCTTGTTTTGTTGATATTTTTGTAGAAACTTTTTTACGTTTTTGTTTTCGAAATGGCTTTTAATTGATAACATTGTTTCCATATATTGTCTACATATGTTGTTGCAATCATGCGCGCTATTTATATAGCACTTATTAAGGCCTTTCCGGTATGGAAGCGAGGCTTTTTATGCTCTTAGCTGAATAGCCAAATGAGAGGTATTTCATTTAGGTAAAAGATAGTAGTCTCTATAAGGTATATGTGTTTATATGTTATTGGGTACTTGAAATTTTCTTCCTAGTACTGTGAGTAGATCTACCTTATTCATTCTCCATAACTCTGCCATTTCATTCTCATTGCTATTACTGCCATTCTCATTATCATTCTCCTTAATAATACGTCTCTCTCTCTTTCTCTCCCTCTCTACCTCCCTCTCTGTCTCTCCTTCTTCTCATCTCTTCCCTGTTATCCTCTGTCACTTATACTTTTCATGCTCATGCTAGATTCTACTACTCTCTTTCTCTCTCTTTCTCTTTTCATCTCCCTCCTTCATATTCTGTCTCTATTTTTAGTTCCACAGTCTTTTACCCTCTTTATATTTTCCTTCTCCTGCCTCGCCATCATTTTGTTGTCCACTTTTATTGATATTGTCATTTTTCATTTATTTAATATGTATTTTCATTTTTTCAGATCATTTGATTGAGATACACAGTGCAATTTGTATTTGTTCAATGCGCAAATTTGTCAATTATCTTCCTGTTCGAGCCGCATTTTGTATTCAATTAAGTGAGCCGCGAGTTTATTCAACATTTTCCCATTTTTTTCATGACTCACCATCAAATGATGCACATAAAAAGTAAAAGAGAAAAAAAAAAGAGAAATATAAAAAGAATTTATAAAAACAAAAATCATTCGGTTGCCAAGCGAATATACAAATAATTGCTTTTTACCTTTTGCAGCTAAAGCAGTTGCCCATTCGTTTGTCCCCCAGTTAATCGAATCGAAATAAAAGAAAAATAATAACATAAAAAAAGAAAACAATTTTGTTGTTTATATTTGTTTAAAGAATATTGAATACGAAGTTTTTTCTTCTGCAAATTATTTAAAATATTATTTGTGCATACAAATTCATGTGCTGCATATGAAATTTTATTGAAAAGGGACAGAATTTGTGTGTGAGAGAGAGAGAGAGAGAGAGAGAGAGATAGCAGTAGATATGCTTGGCATATAAAGGGAATTCATTGAGCTGTTTTTGTAGAGTATTCGCATGAAAAAATTTTTGTAAAGCTCTATTTTAATTTAATTAAGTTTAACATTATTTATTAATTCCCTGTTGTCGAGCTCGAACTGTGACTAATAGCAATTTGTTTGAGTGCCACTGCCAGTTCCAGTTCCAGTTCCAGTTCCAGCAGCCAACATGTTATGCGGGATATGTAATGCATGTAAACGATATTGCTTCACTCAACTGTCAGGCGGCATTAAATAATATTTTGCACTCAAAATGTGCCCAAAGAAAGGTGAGCTAAGAGAGAGAGAGAGAGAGATGGCATGGGAGTGCGAGCGAGATTGTGTGTGGGGCTGATGATAACTGCGAGAGAGAAGGAGACTAAAATAGAGGCTGAGCTGGAGCTTGGCACAGAGACCTGGGCACACAACGACACAGACTCTGAACGGATGGTGGGGGGAGGGGGATGGGGCATCGTCATGGAGCTGTGACATTTTTGACTGCACGCCAGCAGCAAAAAGCCGCCCAGCACAGGCAGCCAGGGAGGGAGACAAAGCGACAGACCGCCAGAGCGCCAGCCAGACAGACACGAATGTCATCTGCTTTATTATGTAACATACGGCATATTAACTAACGGCGTATTTAATATTTTAAGCAAACTACACACAGCTTCGAGCTTCGAGCTCCGAGCTTGGCATTGAAATTGTGCAAAAATATGAATTTTACATTTTGACAATTGCATGAGCTGTTGGGGCAAACTCTGAAGGTTAGCTAGCAACTAATGATATTACACTCAAGTGCGGACCATGGCCTGTATAATGAAGCTGAGGAAATTGAAATTGATGTGGGGGCAACACAGAAATTCTGATTGGCTCGAAGCCAAAGTCAATAAGGGACTCGAAGCAATGCGATTTGGGCGTGTGGATTTGGGTTTGTGAAACTTGTTTTCTAAATGTTCCATTTATGGATATTCAAATATAGTCTATAATCGCAGCGAATATCAAATTTTTATATGTAGGTTTATGGCTTAAAACATGTTGCTGACGTTGATTAGGCCGCGTAAAACTGGTTTCTAAAAATATTTTGATTATAGTTTAAAGATTTGTTTGATTAGTAAATGTAGTGAAATAATAATAGAAGAGGAAGTATAAGTGTTATTAAATGAAATGAAATTAATAAATAAAATATATATAAGATATCCCAAGTTTAGCTCTTTCGCAAGCAGCTTTAAGCCTGCTTCTATCTTTAGCTAAGTAGCTTAAGCAATTATACTATATACACACAGCTTTCTGCAAGTCACTCGAGCGAAATGCCATCAATCAAGCTATTCAAGTACGCTCAAACAAATAATAAAGAGTATTCGCATTAGCTCCATGTATGTATCAAAGCCCACTTAACCTTATCTAGCAATTCACTTAATGAGACTTGACGTTTTTAGGCCATTTAAATGCAGAATGAATTGAGTTTGTTACGAAATATATGTAGGATTATTTTTGTATTTGTAGCCTTGCCAATCAGCTGTAAGTGTCCTGCTTTATATTCAAAATTCAAGTTATTTTTTGATTTAGCCAACTTTAGCTGAGCTTTCAATGCTGCCGACAGCCGAGGCTAACAATGCCAATTGGGTCGTACCTTTTTATGCCATTAGCCATTTACCTGCTGCCTCGGCTGTTGCCTCTGCTGACGTGAACGTGCCCGAAATGCGGGCATCAATAATTTTAGCACTGTTTATTATGCAGATAAACAAAATGGCGGCCAGACACACACACACAGGCACACAAACACATATGCATATATACACAGTGAGGTCTTGGCCTTGCCTTGACTAAACTTGGCTGACACAGCATAAAGTTAGCTCTGTTCTGGGCAAGGGTCAATGGGGGAAGTCGGCAACAGTTGCTAGCAATCATCTAGGCTGTTACCTTATTACAACAACAATAACAACAACAACAACAACGACAACAACAAAGAGGTAGCAAAACTTTGCCATTACGACAATGGGAGTTATCTGGCAGTAAATACATAATCTGCTTGCTGCTGCAGTTCCCAAAAGTGAATAGGCCTCTCGGAGTCCGTCGCCATCCCCTCGTCCACCTCTCCTCCTCCCCTGTCGCGGGCTGTGCCTGTGCACCTTGAATAGGGATTTATTTTTATTGCCACGTCGCTTGCTTTGCTTCCTCCTTTTTTCTGTCTGTCTGTGTATGTGTGTGTATGTGTGTGTTCGTTGACTGTGTATTAAGGGTTAAGCAGGTGCTTTATAAAACATACGCAGCTTCGCACGGCACGCCGTAACTGCAACTAAAAACCCTAAAGGCCCAATCCAATTGGGTGTCCAAGTGCGTAAACGTCTTTTGGCTTTCTGGTTCGGGCGGCCGCCCTTGCTGTAAAATTCACACCTCAAAATGTGTCCCCAAAGTGCAATCAAGAGATTTTTGTCAGTCAGCTGCCCCGTTGCCCATCCACCTGTTCCATCCAACCCATTTACCTGAATAGCTGAGCTAAAGTTCGGCTCTATCTCTATTATAATTAGTTAAGCGAAGCATTAAATTAGGTGTGAACATTTTTAGTGCTGGGGAATTATTTATTTTTACGTCTGAAACTGACTTTCATAAACTTCGGCTCGATCTGGCATATTTATATACGTTTAGACCATTTTTACGGATTTTATTTGGCTTTTATTCTTATTTTATTATTTTCGGGTTTATTTCAAAAGTTTTTGATTGCCTTTTATGCGTTTTGTTTAATGAACAAACTGTTGGGAATATGCAAAAACTGAACTGAATGAATTTTGTATTTAGATACAAAAGAGTTTGTTGTCTGCATGAGTTACTGATTGAATGACTGATTCATGATTGAAGGTAAGTTTTTGCAGTGGGTGCAAAAAAGCTAAAAAATCTAAAAGCTAAAAATGTGTTTATTTTGATTTGTATTTCTCAGGAATAACAGATTGAGTGGTTTATTGGGAAATTTTTTGATTGATTGAATAGCTATTATTGACTGACAGATTGACAGTCAGACTTTTTTGATTGACTGATGACTATGTGATGGATTATACTGATTAATAAATTTCTTCCTGACTGACAATTGAACTGATTGACTATACTTAAATCTGATGGATTTACAGACTTACGTCGATTCTGATTGATTGACTACTGTGTGAAACGCTGATTGWTAAACTGACTGATGGATGGATTGATTGATTGACTGATTCGCTGATTCAATGTTTTACTTCTGAGTGAAAGAGACTTTGTCTAACTGATTAACAGATTGATTCTGTTTGTCTACGGTCAATACATAGATTGAAAACCTAGATGATGGATTTACTGGCAAATTATTTGCAATCCATTCTAATGTTTTTAAAAGTATTCTTCTTTTGATTTTGATTAAACAATGTTGCCCTACTTCAGGTTTGCAAAATCGTTTCGTGTTTCTGCTCAAAGTCTCAGCTTATGAAATTTCCTGTCTAAGCTCAATATCAATAATTCACCATATATAATCATAGCAGAGCCCTCGCTGCAGACCCCAAAATTATCTGGAATCCCTTTTACAAACTGTGCAATTCGAGTGCAACCGAAACAATTTGCTCAACATCAACAGCAACTAATACAATAATTCAATGGCAAACAGGCTTTCGATTCGTTTACTCAGGCTGACAAACACACAATGGAATATGTTTATGTCTCTCTCTCTCTCTCTCACTCTCACTCTCACTCTGTGGGTATAAAGTTTTTGGGAGTGTAGGCCAGTCGACAGACATATTGAAATTCATAACTATACACGAAACCCAATTACAATATCAATTTAAAAGGGATTAAAAAGCATGTCGACGGCTTAGCCAAGAACCGAAACCGAAACCGAAAYGTAAACTACGAAGAGTGTAGAGTGGCTCTGTGGTTAGGGCATAATACTTATTTATAAGATTTGTTGGTCCACTCTAATACATATACATGTACAGATTGTGAAATTGTAAAATTGTATTTTAGCCTCTTGACAGCTCGACGGCCAAAGTTTAAATGAAATTCTGAGCTAGCAGATTTTCATAATAAATAGCGCATTAAAAACCATAATAACAAATATTTAGTATTGAGTCAACAAGAAAAATGAATTTTTCCAACAAGTGGCTCACTCATTCACTCACTCTCTCCCTCTCGCTCTCTTCTTCTCTTCTGTGTGTGCGTGAATTTTTGCATAATTTATTTTGTTTGCCAACAAGCTGATAACCACAATTTTGTATACAAAGGACCGCAAAGTATTTGCATGCTGCTCTCAGATATTGAGCGCTACTTGACTTGGCTTTTGTATTCCAGCGTGTTTGGTCAATGTAATTTGGTTAAGTAACATTGCTGATAAGTCAGAGCAGAGCCATTGCGTCTGTGTGGCATGCAACGCCTCGCTGTGCTTGAATGCTAAATGCATTCAACTGCTGGACTAAGCAATTTGTAAATTAGCTGATAGCTGATGTACATAAGTTGTAGCAGAGCTGGAGGGAGACAGCAACTAATGGAGGAAGGAGAGATAGGTATATATAGGGAGAGGGAGAGAGATTGAACTGAGAAAAAGGTTTGCTAACTGTAAATGTTGAAGGTTTTTCTTAAATGAAACACGGTATATGTAGGCGCAACGCAAAAAGTTTATTTAACACAATATTCAGTAACAAGTACACTTCTTCACGTACCGCGACGATTTKAACTTAACTAACCGAGCCGACACACTGACATTGATCTTACACAATGAACTTACTGAATGAACTTTGGCTCGACTTACAGCACGCTTATATACCTACTTCTACTGCATATCGAATGTTCTGGATGTCTCCTTATGCTTCTATGTTTGCGTCTATTTCATAATCCAGAACATTCGGTTTCTTATTCTAGAGACAAATGTGCGATCAGCCGACGACTGTGTTTACCGTTAGCTCAAATGCCCACTTGATGATGAGTTTTTCGAGATCAATCCTCAACAGTAAATTTAGAGCAAGGCTGCAAAACAGTTTTTAAGGACATATAATTAAATGAGAATCTCTAAGTTTTCTTTTCTACTTTCTTCGATGTGTAACTAACCTTAATTCACACATTTAATTTGGATAATTTAACTAATCTAAAATCTTTGACAGTAACCAAGCAAAAATCATGCATAATCTGCCACATTATTTAGTTACAGGGTAACTGTTAATCGAGCACACTTGCTGGCAGCTCACTACAGGGCTCAATTTTTAATCGCAGCAAAGCAACGCTGAATTAGATCCACTGTCAAATTAACATTAACTGGCGATTACAATGGATTCCACCTGCCCAGAGCCAGGCTGCAGACATGCATGCGATAAGGCAGCCAGCCAGTCAGAGGGCCGAGGGCCGAGGGCAGACGCAACAAGCCAATGACAATTGACAGGATAACGAGGCACACTTCGAGAAAAACACACACCCACACATATCACACACACACACGCACAGCCAGCAGCAGCAAAACTCGTTTGCCTTCTTGTTGATAAAGGAAATTAAACAAAAAACAAAAAACAAAAATGAAGAAGAATAGAAAGAAGTTAAGCCCTCCAGACAATTGACGCAGCTTGAAGGCGTAGGCGGCGTGGTCAGAGTGTGTGGAGGAGCAAAGGGGACGAGTCGAGGGAACTGTGGCATTTGTCTGATTGTCTCGTTGACATGACGTTGCGCGATTTGTAAAAGGCTTTTGTTTTTGTTTTGCGTCTGCCTGACGGCCAGGCGCTGCCGTGGCTGGCGTGTCTGCCGTGTCTGCCTACAAGTGAGCAACACGCGCCAATGATTATGTTGCCGCTGACAACGACAACACCAATAACAACAGCAACAGCAACAGCAACAATAATAGCAGCAACAACATCGACTAGCAACACGGCCAAACGGCCACACGGAGCACTCCGAAAAGTATGCAACGTTTCGTCTCCTGTTGTTGTTGTTGTTGTATTCTTTTTTTCGGTATTAGTTCTGGCTTGAAGCTTTTCATTGAGTAAAAGTGACGCATGCGCCGTGTGAGTTTCGGCCAAGCCAGACGAATGGCAGTGCCAGACGATGTTGGCCGTTCAGTTCGTTGTTGACATTCGTGCCTGCTGGACGTTTTCACTGGCGGCAACGGGCCGTATGCGTTATATTTGTTAGGCAGCCAACGCGTTTCAGACGAGAGACACGCGCTTATTGGATTTTTGGCGCAAGTAGCAAAAAGCCGGTTAAAGTGTTAAAAGCGTGTAATTTTCTCGGTGTATGAGTGTGTGTTTGTGAGCTGAGGTAGAAATACACTTAGCTACAGCATTCAAAAAAAAAAGAAAAAAAAAGAAGCAGAAGCAAAAGGAAACAAAGCAGCAGAAATTCCAAGAAAATTAACTTGGCGCATTCTTGAACTGTTTATTGTTGTTGTGCTGCCAACTGGGTTAATTGTTGTGTGTGAGTGTGTGTGCTTGTGTGTGTGTGTGAGCAGGTGTGTGCGTGTGTGAGTGTGCGGGAATTATAACCAGCCAAATACAATAAAACACAAGCCCGCAATGCAAGCGCAACAATAGTTCGTGGCACGCGATGAATGCAACAAGAGCCCCCAGAATTGCAATACTCAGAAACAAGTGAACACAAAACTCAGGTAAATGCCAAATTAATAAGTACATATATCTATTGAAATATTAGCTCAAGTTATAAATCAAGCAAGTGGCACATAAAGTGCTTAAGCACAAAACTTTTCCCGCTTGAGCGAATAAAACAATTTTGCATTTAAATATTTAAACGTGGGCCATTGTCTTGCACTTTTTGCTCTGCATTTTGCCAGGGACATTAAAATAGGTTTTCACTTTTGTTTATTTACTGATGCATTTTAATTATTTAAGCTGCATGCATTAAAAATAGTTCAAGCATAAGGCTTATTTATTTTACGTTGCATTTTTTTATATTAAAGAGCTATTTATTTAATTTTATTACTTTTTTTTCATATGTATATACATATGTATGTATACATACATATATTTAATTAAAAGCGATAAATAAATATTGTAAAATGTAAAAATAATTATATACATATATACTTGCATTAATTGGAATATGCCAGCAGTAAATTATAATAAATTATTATAAATGCTTGCATATTCCAATTAAATGCAAATATATATGTATTATATGTATATAATTATTATTAAATTTTACAATATTTACTTATCGCTTTTAATTAAATATACATATGTTAAAATACATAAGGAAAAAGTAATAAAATAAAATAATTAGCTCCTTAATATAAAACAGAATGGAAATAAACTTACAAAAGGTCAAAATATATATTTAAATTGCAGCAAAAAAGGAGATTAAATTCGCTTTGAGATAAATTAGTAGTAAAATATATGTACAAACAATTGCAACAAATAGTCAATGACAGTAAAGTATACCAGAAAAATATAAACATATAAATATATATATTTTCACTATTCATTGACGATTTATCTACATATATTTTACTGCTAAATTTATCTTAAAGCTGATTTAATCTGCTTTTTTTTTTATACACCAGTGTACAGCACAAAGAAGATTTTAAAATTAATTAATAAAAATATAAATGCATAAAATATCCCTATAAATTCAACATAAATAAAATGCGACTTTGATAAATTCTGATAATAAATTTATATTAAATATGTGTATATTGGCTATAATATAGAAAAAAAGTAAATTATTAAAGAAAGAAAATTGTGCGTAAATGCATAAATATTTAAGTGTATAAATATATATACATGGTGACAAATTTATTTAAATATACTCAAATTTATATTACTTTTCAATTTTTATAGTTTTTGAAAATACTAAAATATGTTTGTGAATGAATAAAAGTGTATTTTTAAATATTTAAAA